AATTGAAAACAAAAAATAGTTAATTAAAAACAAAAAATAGCCGGTGCCCCAAACCCGCCCCACCCTGTCTAAGTTAAGGCGGGGTAGGGTGAGGTCGAGATGGGATGTGTCGGGTCGGGTCGGATCGGATCGGGACGGGACATGGACTCACCCCGTTGTGATCTCTACTTTGGATTTGACATCCATTGATAAATTTAGATTTTCCAATTAGTGATAGAGGTGAGTAATATAAAAAAGGCATCTAATTCTTGAAGCACCGAATCTGAAAAAGGAAGTTTAGTGCCCAAAAGTTAATAAGAACCTAACAAAATTCGAGAACGCGTTTTGCCCAATAAAGAAGCAGTGTGATTCTCACCACAGACGAATTCCCTGGTGTAATCGTGCGCACTTGCGCTTTTCTAGTCAACATTCACAATTTCGGAATTTCCCATTTCCCTCCTTTGAAGCATTCAACCCCATATACCAAAAATTCAAGGAATATATACATATATATGTAGAGAGAGAAAAGAGGGGGAGAGATAGAGATAGAGAGACGAGGAGAGCACGCATCATGGGACAAAGACGATATGGCCGAATGACCGACCCTAAACAAATAATGTCTTGTCTTGTTACATAAGACAAATAAAAACTACAAGTCTTTTCTTATTTGCTCAATTTTGCCTATCCAAAAAGCCATTCAATCGAAACCAATTATTTTATCCGTAATATAAAAGCATAATATTCTTGTGAACCCATATCTAGTTTCGATTCAGAATTTGGGAAATTAAGGGAAAATGATGACAATGGAAGGGATGATGGATAGGGGTGTGCTTGATGATATAATAAGGAGGCTGTTGGAAGGGAAAGGAAGTAAACAGGTGCAGCTTTCGGAGGCGGAGATCCGGCAGCTTTGCGTCAACGCCCGCCAAATTTTCCTCTCTCAGCCCACTCTTCTTCAAATCCGGGCCCCTGTTAAGATCTGCGGTTTGTCTATTTCTTAATTTCTTCGAATTTATTTCTAAATTTTTGAAATTTGAAATATGAACTTTGTGGGATTGTTTTGGTTGTATTAAATGAATGATAATAACGAGTTTGATGGCTGTTTCGTTGGGTTCCTAATCATTTAATTAGCATATGGAAGTATCAAATGAAATTGGAGATTGAAAGGATTGATTAAATGCATTCATATTTTTACCTTTTGTGCTTGGTGGAAGTGGCCAAGGGGAAACCAATTTTAGGGTAGAAATTTTGTTTTAATCAGAACCTGTCTTATCTCGATTCATGAATTCGTTGAAATAATATTGAATTGGAGTGAGGTTACTTTGTGGATTTCTTTTGAATGAGGTCACTGGTCGAGAAGTAATGGAATTGGTCTACTTATATGAGGATTGACACATTGCATCTTGAATCTTGATTCTGTTGGATGATATCAATAGGATTCACCTCGATTCTTAGACAATTAACCATCAATAGAAGGGCCGGTTCTATGAATTGGCATGCTATCCTAATTATCAAGTTACTTAGCTCCATTTCCATGTGGTTGTCCAAGTGCCTTGTTGTTCAAAAGATTAACATTTTATAAAGAAAATAATATCGCTCCACTCAAAAGTAGAGAAGCAGTTGTAGGACTGCAGTATTAATGAAACCTTGATCACAAGAAACTAATTCTTGAATATGGTTTTTCTTGGGAGAAAGCAGGCTAATTTCCTCAATACGATATGATGAAATATGGGTAGGAGATTATTAGTTTTTTTTCTTCTCTTCTTTGTGAAAATCACTTTACATTTCTTGCCACATCCTTTTTCAGTTTGTTGATGCAAACGGTTGCATGTGATCAAGATTTCTCTTTTATCTTGGAGGTTGAAATATTTCATTAATAAAGATGCTTCAGACTGTTATCTTTTAGTTGGTCATGCTTTTGATTAAATTCAATTTGATTCTTACAAGCTTTTTCATGCTTGAAAATATAATAAACCAGCTCATTTGCCCCTTGAAGAAAAAAATAACACCAGCCACTAAATCTTTATTATTTATTTATATATCCTTGTTCTAATTGAAAAACCGTCTATCTTACAGGTGACATACATGGACAATATCAAGACCTTTTGAGGCTTTTTGAATATGGTGGGTACCCTCCATCTGCAAGCTACCTCTTTCTAGGAGATTATGTTGATAGAGGCAAGCAGAGTTTGGAAACAATATGTTTGCTATTGGCTTACAAGATAAGGTATCCTGACCAAATTTTCCTTTTGAGGGGAAACCATGAAGATTCAAAAATCAACCGTATTTATGGATTTTATGACGAATGTAAAAGGAGATTCAATGTCCGACTTTGGAAGATATTCACCGACTGCTTTAACTGTTTGCCTGTTGCGGCACTAATAGATGGCAAGATATTTTGCATGCATGGAGGACTTTCGCCGGAACTAAAACAATTGGATCAGATTAAAGAGATTGAAAGGCCCACTGATATCCCAGATAATGGACTCTTGTGTGATTTGCTCTGGTCTGATCCAGATCCGAGGATACAAGGTTGGTCTGATAGCGACAGAGGTGTTTCGTGTACTTTTGGACCTGATGCAGTTGCTCAGTTTTTAAAGGAAAATGACTTGGATCTCATTTGCCGAGGTCATCAGGTATATAATTTATATCGATGGCATATGTATTGCTCTTTTCTATTATTTCTTTCTTCTATTGGTGGGAGGGACACAATGGTATTTGCTTATCTAGTATTGCCGCCCTTAAAAGAAAGAAAATAAAATGAAAAGAAAGAGCTTGTATTGCATGTTGTAACAATTCATAACCCAGAGATAATAAGCATCAACAGAATAAATTAACCAACTATTTACTGATTTATCCTGACTATGTATACCCTTAAAGTTCCAATTTTCTGGCAAAAAGTTCAAGTGGTATATTACTTACAATGGTACTCAAAATGTATAGAAACCTCACATGTTGAGTTATATATGTTGTAAAACTTTCATTATTTTCTATTCCTGTTATCTGAATTCGACACAAAAGTTGTTCAGAAATCATTTACTAACATAAATTTATACTTTGCTCTAATCTTTGCTGCAGGTGGTGGAGGATGGATATGAATTCTTTGCTAAGCGACGACTTGTCACGATATTTTCAGCTCCGAACTATGGTGGAGAGTTTGATAATGCAGGTGCTCTTTTGAGTGTTGATGAATCTCTAGTTTGTTCTTTCGAGATATTAAAGTCTGCTCCAAGCACTTCAAAGTTGCCTCTAAAAAAGGTATACACTATCTATTATTATCTATATATTCTTTCTTTTTTGCTGTCATCTTCCTCCTATTTCTATTCTGAAAGTTCATCTATGTGATTAAACCGGATGATAATCTGTTTTTCCAAAATAGCCCCCGAAGATTGGAGGGATCTGATATGAAGATCGAAGTGGAAAGCATGGAAAGTGTACATGATCATTTGTCAGCAGTGAGTAGGAAGAATGAAAAACATGTTACTTGTTTTTCTCTGTCCATAATTCCGAGGTTTACATTGAAAGTTTTTTTATGCATCTCATAGCAAATTTCTGTGCTTTAGCCTTGGTTTGCCAAGAAAAGATCAGTAAATTGAAGATGAACTAAGATTGGATCACTTGGTTAACTTATACACCCGTTTTTATGTATTTTGGTAGCTAGAATTTACATTTGCAACTGATAATGTGATCTTTAATTTCATTTTTGTACATTAATTTCTATTACAACACCGTTTCTATTTGGTAATGTATTCGCTACTGTAGCAAGGTTTGTAGTGTTAAGCCTAAAATTATGCAAAATTTGGAAATTTCCAAATAGAGAATCGTGTTTGTTGAAATGCATGGCTCGGAAGTTAAAAACTCTAGTCGCCAAACTTGTTTCTTGGTAAATGATCTTTTGTCAGATTGTACGGTTTTGTTTCACTTTAAGTCACTCTTTCTTTCTTTCGGTATTGTATTGTAAGCGTGTTTTATAGGAGTACCTGTGTGGCTGATAGAACTAATGTAGATGGATGCCACGGAAGTGGTTTAATTGAAACAAAATTACAAGTTTGGTGACCATATTTGTACGTAAAAAGTCCTGTAACTAAATTGAAACTAATATTGTGACTTGAGACGGAGTAAAAATACTATAGTGAGAAAATTTGGGAACTTTTGATTTCCTCTATTCCACCCACTATGATGTGATGGTGGACAACAGTCGAACATTTGTTAAGAAGCCTTATGATGCTTTATTTGGCTACAATCAGATTCTGATGATGACTAAGAAAAGACTACCTCCGTGATTGAACGAGGGACTTTATATCGGACTAATGAATTGTCGGAGAAACACAGCAGTTGCTGGTGAACAAGTTCACCAAAATCAACGTGGAAATGGATCAAAGTCTAAATAAACTGTCAGTGAATGCAATGATCACTGAGCAAGACATAGACCACCTCCAACAAACCTTCCGAGTGTTTAAAAGTGCATTATGTAGCTCTACTCCACAAATGTTTCTTCTTTAAACCATAGTTGGGAAACTTTCGAGGGTACTTGACCATCACTATGTAGTTCCGTCCAAGCCAAAAGATGGGAAACAATTATATATGTACTTTTAGCAATATTAGCATAGTTTTCCTAGTACAGTAGAGTTTCAAAGTGAAATACTACCCCGATAGGCCCAAGTGATATCAAACTTTTAGGGCCCGTTTGAGGGCCCGTTTGATTGTAAATGTGAAAATTGGGTGGAAAGAAAATGTTTTACATGGAATTAAATTACCTGAAAAATGTTTTAGTGGAAATTGTAATTAATTGTGTTTGATTAGTATAATTCTCCACCTGAAAATGTTGAAAGTTTAGTATCTGTTTGACTTTATTTTTCATGAAAATTGTCCATTAAAGTGATAATTTTTTTTGCAATTGGGTCTAGAATTTGTTCTAATTGTCAAAAAAAAAAAAGTGGAAAACATAAAAGCACCAAAACCATGGGAAAACAATTTCATCAAAAAAGAGGAAAACTGGACGCGTGAATTCCATGATGGAAAAGGACCCATGGAATTTTTGTGCTATCAAACATTCCCTTAGTTGGAAAATGGAAAATTGTTTCATACTTCCATGGAAGATGCTACAAATCAAACAGGGCCTTATAGTATGATAAAGCATATTCATGATACAATATAAAGAGATAACAGAAACTGAACTCGTAAAGCACCGAAGAAACCTTTTTACAAGAAGTGAACTCCTTACAACTCTCGAGTCTTGGAACTTCAACAGCCTCACTCAAAATAACACACTGTGATGGATGGATAACGCGTATATAAATCTAATTACACTAACGATACTCTTGCTCCCCAACACTTTTGCACAACATCCTTGAATAGAAACAATATAACAACACTTGGAGCAGCCTCAAGGGAGAAAAGGGTCATAGCCTCTTTGTCATTATGTATCACAGGTCGTGAGGAGGAGGAGGGCTCCTGGGTCCGACTCCGCTAGCAGCAAACGATGCAGACCTCCTACGAAACCGAAAGGCCTCTCTTCCTCCTGCACCTATGGCATCATTCATAAGCAAAAATTTACCCCTTGTTTGGTGTAATTTAAATCAGATTTTTATTA